AAAATGCAAATATGATTTATTCCACATAAGACTGCAACAATTCTACAAAAATCCTAAGTTCAACATCTTCAGAACAAAAATATGCAGAGAAATGGAAATAATCAATATGAAGAATTAAAAATGTACGTCATATTTGCACGGAGGGTTTAAACTCTTTATCTGTGCTTTGTCTCCCCCTGCTGGTATATCAGAGTAATGCCAGCTCAATGTATGACAGCTGAAGTGATTTTTTTCTTATTTATTTCAGATTTTTGGCAAGAAGGGTTGGTTAGAATAACTCACCGTAAAGCCTATGAAAGTAAATCTAATGCTATGCCACTTTAACACAATAGTTTTTTGCCTGTTTTGTCTTTTTGGCAACGTTTCTGCTCCAATTTGAACACTGACATGTGCAACCACTAGTATTTCAGCACATATACATAAATCCTGCTCACATAAAACGACTCATCTGCGGGGACGTTTATGTGCCTCGTAATGCTGCGAAAAAATATAGCTCTGCCTTCGTCTGATCTCAACAAAGGGGTTGGAGATGCTCTAAGTGGGAACTCTCAAAAGCTGGATGCTCGTTCTTCAACGTGGAAGTAATTTCCCCCTGTCAGCTCTGTCTGCTTTCCCTGAAATTCACAACAACGTAAATTAGATTTGATTAAAAAGGGGGTTTGATTTATACATCTTCGCATTTTAAAAAGTTCTGCGTTTTATCTGTAAACTTACATCCCTGCTGTGAGCAAGAGCGGGGATGATGGGGGCCACCCCCACCATTTTATTCGCCCTCTAATACAAACAGTGGCAGCAGTAATAATCTCAAGGCGAATGTTCAAACTTTATAAACATTTTAATCTTTTATCTATTAACAATTACATGACAACTGAAATGCTGTGGTTAATTATGCACATGAAATTAATAACATTAAAGTTGATATATACAGAATTCATGCTCTTTTCAGAACTAAATTTGTGTTATATGGGGTAAAGAGAAAATGATGTGTCTCTGCAAGTCATCTAGGAGTGAAATCAGAGATAAATAACTACTTTAATAATAACTTAAAAATCCATATACATTTTTTGATAAAAGTAGGTAAGTAAAGACAATGGAAAAGATGTTTGCCCCAGACATTTAGTCCACTATGCCTTTTATTTAGATGCCATGAATGTTTAAATATATGCATTTATTTGTTAGCAAAGGCTGTAGGAAAGTAGAGTTAGTTTTTATTTAGAAAAAATGGATGTTATCCTTGTGTAGATTAACCCTGAGGTTCTGTCGCCAATCCGCCCCAGTCTACATTGGTTATTGAATGGCCGCCCCTATGAAAATTTTCTGGCTACGCCTCTGAGCAGCAGGGGGTTGTATTCAATGTCCCCCCATAACATTTTTTTTTAATCCCTGCATTTTATCCCTGTGTTTTAACATAATAGAGTAGAAAATCCTTTATTTTTTCCCAATGGGGAAATTCTGGAGCTCCATGAGGCTAAATATGCCTCTGACTTTTTAGATTTATAAAGCAACTTGACGAAAACACCAAACCTAAACGCATCACGTTTAAAAACATACTTCAGTCCATTTAAAGATCAAATGTTGTAAATTTAAGAATTAATACTAATTGAATATGGGTTGTGCTTTGCTGAAAACTGGTCAGTAATGATGTCCACTTCTTTTTTTAATATTGGACATTGAAGAAACTGATGCATTTTACTTTAATTGAAGCTGTTTCAAACTGGATGTTCTTCCAAAGAGAATCCCCTTGCAACTACATACAAATATATAATACATTTAATTTTCTGGTGTTTGTTGCAGTTCCTCATTCTACCTCAAGCTTTTGCTCAAACTACTGTAAAGAATGCAGCAAATAAGTTGTTTTTTTTTTTGTTTTTTTTATTTAACGCCTACGCCTGGTTAAAACACATATAGACTACATATGGGTCTTGCATGGTTCTCTCCTGCAAAATTTCATAATCCATCCATCCATTTTGCATCACGCTTTATCCCTGCTTGGGCCACGAGGGATGCTGGTGCCTATCTCCAGCTCATTTCATAATCCACGGGACAAGATTATAAAGCAAACTGCTATTTGATAGTTGGGACCTGATCAGATCTAAGTAGACCCACTATTTAGTTTATAGTTAAGTGATAGATAACCATCCATAATGTAAAAATACATGAAATAATTTTTAGAGCACCACTAAATGCTTACTGGTTAAGGAACTAATTGCTAGTTAACCGCTTGTTTCCCTTTTTTCATTTTATTGCGTCTTTAACAAATATTTCTATGTAATATATTCAAGATTTTAGAGTGAGGGAATAGTCAACTGAACATTAAATAACTTCCCTGATCCCTGATCTGATAAATACCCAAAAGAACATGAGGAATGAATCTATAAAGGGTTGACTAACTAATTAATGAACACTTTCTACTTATTAACTCACCTGTTTGTCACCTACAGGTTATTAAGCAAAGCTGGATCATGAATTAATCATTAAGTAATGCTAACTGCAAATGTAGCTTGCTAAACAAACTATATCTGGTCGGTAAATAATCATTTAGTAAAGAGCAAATTAGCATTCAAGGATCAACTATTTATAGGGTACAAAACAAATGGACCATGGTTTCACTATACTGTTATACCTGGTTAATAAATATTGCTTGGTTATTAAACAAAGTGTGATAAAGAATTAAAAACTGACTAATAGTGATCTATTAGCATTTAGTTTTCCTTCTAACCCCAAACAGGATCAGGAATGAATAACTAACTGATGATTAACTTGTGATTAACCCAAATTAACTAATCATATTTATAAGTAAAACAGAGTAAGAATGGACTGTAAATGAATATTATTGGAAATCTGCATCAAACACAGCTTTGCTGATCTTAAACTTATCCCAAAGGTTTATGAGGTGGTTAAACGGGTCGTCACTTTTTAAAGAAATAACGAGCTAATGACAATAAATACTGCACACATATTTTTTTACTGCACGCACATTTTTTTTCTCTCTCTCTTTTATCCCCCTTACTTTTATCTTTTTAAAATATTTTATGTATATCTTGTGTTTCTTCTTTTATTTTTTATCTGTGATTTGTGAAATGTGAACGTGTGTGAAAGGTGTGCTACTACTGCACAAAAACTGCCCATACTGGAACAACTAAAAGCTACTGAACTGAACTGAAATAAAGAAGAAATAAATGCACTTTCCTCTATTTTCCATAAGAATTAAAAGTTAACCGAGTCAAAGGAAATCAGCAATAATTGAAAACAAAGCATACAGAGTAACGTAAAACGAGGACACACTGTCAATTGTCGCGAAAACGTCTGAAATATGTTTGTATGTGGGTTTTTTTTCTCACTAACAGGTCACAAAAGGAGCCTCTTCTGACTGCATCTTCAGTAATGCCTCCCCATGAATAAAGCTGCAGAACTGGAGAGCCTCTTCAGTGACAGACCGATGCACCCTAAATGCACCATGGAGCATTATCACAGATTCTTCCTCCCAACAGCTGTAAGACTTTATAACCACCACTGTTCCCAACAACCTCAAGTTGTTACATTTGTGCTGATTTTCCACAGTTTCTTAGTTAAATAACATGCTGTAGTCATTTTGTACATCTCTGATGTTGTTGCTATTTTCAAATATCCATTACTGTAAAAATGTCCATAGCTGTATAATGGTTATTTATTCTCCAGGTGCACAGGTTTTTATATTTTTAAAACATTTTACAGTGCAGTATTCTATTGTTTATATTTTAACTCTTCACTAATATGTTTTTCTTATAGATTTTTCTAAGGTCCACATTTATGTGACAATTTTTTCTATAATCTTTTGCTGCTGTAAAGACCAGAATTTCCCCATTGTGGTACAATAAAGGGATTTTCTATTCTATTTGCTCACTTTTTCTTAAGTTTTCTTTCATGTCACCACAAGGGGGCGCTAAGTTCAAAAAGACAATACAAAGTACTGTTAATGAGACTATTACAAAAGCTTTAAACCTGTTCTGGTGAATAACATCAGAAGAGGATCATTTCAAACTTGGTATGAGGAACATCTCACTTAGATTTTAAAAAGTTATAAATAAAACACATCTCACATTGATTCTTTAAACACTGTGATATCTTTATCAATAAATTTTTGATGATTATAACATCAACATTTATAAATTGTTGCAATGATGTAAAATGGAATCAAAGTGTAATGATTAAAAAAATTATGGATAAATTCTTACTTTTATAGAGATGCACTGTTGCATTCAATGTCCTGTGGTCAAACAGGGGGATCATTAGCAGATACATTTGCAGAAAGTCAGCTTTTAATATGTTTGCACCACTTTTTTGTTATAATCTGAGCTTTGAGCTGCTACAGTTTTACAACCAGAGCTGGAAAGTGCATCAGTGCCGCTCGTGTGAACAATTTGTAACGAGATGGGACCAGCACAGTGTGTGTGGGATGGAGATGTGGAGGGCAGAGCTGCCAGGGAGGTGTGTTTGGTGGGTGGGGATGCGGGGTGTGCAGACTCATCCCGGTGGCCTGATGTGTTCCCCTCCATCTCCACAGCAGTTTTCTCTTTTGGATACCTGACCAAAGCGCGTCCGGAACCACATCCCCCCCTCCTCCTATCGTTTCCCTGTTTTCTTCTCCCTCCATCACCCCGGTGGAGCCCCTCTTTCAGGCCCGGTGGCGCAGCGCGCAACGGCCGGGAGATGCAGCCGCGCACGGACAGCCGGCTGCAGCGGTGCGCCTCTGCTCCATCCGGACTCCAACATTTCGGACAGTTTTTAAAACTTTAAATCAACATTTAAAAAAAGGACCTATTTCTTCTCGATCATTTTGAACTTTTTTGTCACCTTTTAATAGAAAGCAAAGCAGGGCGCGTTCAATGCGCAGCCATGCTTCTCATCTCGTCTCGCAGCGCGCTGCTGTCTGTCTACTACCCGCAGATCTTCCTCATCCTCACCAGCGGCAGCTACCTGTAGGTTCTTCTAAAGGCGCATGCCTCAATGTCATGCGCCTTTATTTCCAGCAGCTTTACGCGCGGCTTCAACGTGCGTAATTCCTCAGCCAATTACGCACACAATTAGACTTGCAAGATAGCAAAAAACACATTTTTTTCTCGTTTACTTTTACAAAACATAGTCATAATTTACATTTACTGCATATTTTGTCGCTTCATTGTTTCTGGAAAGTTTTGGAGGAATCGGTGGAAACACGCGCCGCTTTCTTTTCCTTCCTCTGTGGAACACAAGCTGCTGATTTCTCCTTTCTCCTCCAACATAACTGGCATTTTCATTCAGAAATTGAGCCATAAAACGGCTGAGTAAAAACCTGCTCGACTGAAGCCAACATTTAATCTCCTCGATTTCATATTTTCGGACCAGCTGATGAGATAACCTGCCTTCATGGATTTACACATTACACCAGAACCACTTTGTCTTGGAAGCACCTCGTCAGATTTGAGCCATTATGTGGGACTGCAGCATATGGAAAAGGATTGTATTAAATGATTACTTCATGCTCTCTTTATAGAAAGAGGGGCTTTGTTAGGAGCTCTTGCCATTTAGGCCTCTACATTAAGTGATTGCTGCACCATATTTGCCTTTCTTTAACAAGGACAGGTTCCGCCATGAAATCTGCACTATAAAGTAGAGGGGTTCATGCTTTCTGCTGTGATGCTGGCTAAAATGAGCTCAATTTGAAACCTATACGCTGAAATGTAATCCAACTTTTGGTATGAACAAATGTAGAGGTCATTTAGGTCCCTTATTTTCAATAAAGTACTGCCAAAATGTGAATAATGTCACAACTTCATGAAATTGGGCCATTTTTCTTGTTTAACAAGAATAATTTCCACATTTCATTACAAGTCTGTCGTTGTAAGGTGTGTTCGTGATCATCTTTTTTACAGGGCGCTGTCCTCTGTGGTTGCCCTGGGTGCCAACATCATCTGCAATAAGATACCAGGACTGGCCCCCCGTCAGAGGGCCCTTTGCCAGAGTCGACCAGACGCCATCATCGTCATCGGGGAGGGTGCCCAGCTGGGCATCAACGAGTGCCAGTATCAGTTCCGAAATGGGCGCTGGAACTGCTCTGCCCTGGGCGAGAGGACGGTGTTTGGACAAGAGCTGAGAGTAGGTCAGTCTTCTTGAACTTCTGTTGTGTGGTGGGATTAGGGGTTTTAGGATTTTTTAGTTTTAACAGTGGAAGATTGGAGAGGAAATACCTGCAGCTCAGATGTAAGAATCCATGACTACACAATAGTTAGTCATGTACTTTCCGGTCATTATGGAAAAGTCTTAAGAAGACAGAAATTGTTAAAACTGTCTTAAGAACTCTAGGTTAAAGTTTAACATGAGCCAGAAAGATGATACAGGAAACAGGTGGTAGGTAGGTCCAGGTCAGTCTAGAAGTTATATTAAATAAGAGTTATGATCAAGGGAAAAAAACTATGGAAGACTGAAAAGAAGAACGCAAAGTCATAAGTTAGAATGCTCCAGTCAAAGTCCAAACCTAAACCTAACTATGAATGTATTACAAGGAATGAAAATAGCTTTGGCGATACTACTGTATCTGTCCATCAGACTGAGCTTAAACTTTTTAGGAAAAAAGAACAAACAGCCAACGCCACAAAAAACAAGTTTCATTTCAAGGTTCTAATGCTGTCAGCAAGTAGAGATTTTCCCAAAGTGAGGGAAGCCTTCTTTGTGTCAAGCCCATCAGGGTTTGATCCCTAAAATTGATACCTGTAGTCTGCAAAACCTAAATATAAGGGTCTCTAGCCAAAATTCTTTAAAATCTGGATACTTCACAAGCGCCTCTTTTGCTCCTGATGTGAACTTTCCTCATAAATTGTCTCAGGTCCAGAATGCTTTGTTGTGGTTTTGCAGTGGGTTTGAATACATGTATAATCTTGCAGTTCTGGAAGCTATTGCTTGTTTCTGTCTGGATCGCTTCCTTGTGTTCCTTTGTCATAGTAAAGTTTTTTTTCAGAGTAAACAAATTTAAAGTCTCTTCAAGTCCAACATTTTCCTCAAGTACTGTTACGAATTTACTGTCAGAATCCATTTACTAAGGGCTTTATCAAAACTAGTTGGGGCTAACAAGTTAGAAACCAGGACTATGAAGCAGTTTTGTGCGGTAAACGGATCTTAAGCAAGTTTAAAAAGTTGACCTTTAGGGTCAGTAACTTCATCTTGCTTTGAAAAAAGCCAGAGAGATTCATGCAAACCACTAATTAAAGGCAGCTCCAGCAGCTGGATGGCAACAATGGAACCCTGCATGCGCTGCCATTAAATCAAAACAAATCACAGTGCGAATAGATGGCTGTTTGGCCGCTGCTCACGCCCGATGCCTTGAGAAATGCTCAGCAGCGTCGCACAACGTATCCGAATAGCTCGTAGATTTAACTTGATGAGAGAAGACTTCAGCGTTTGTTTTGAGTTACGGGATGGGGGAAACCGCAGGGCTGATGGTTTCAGCGAAGGAGCTTGTCGTGTTGGAAGGTAGCCATCAGAACTGCCTCTTAAAGAGACGCCATGCATTAATACCCTGGCCTGTAGGGAGGAACACAGGCGCGGCAGTATCCTACAAGTGGGAGGGTATCCTGTTACCAACTTTTGTGCCTATAAATAAATTTTCCTCCCTCTCAGTCTATAAATATTAGACAGAAACAGAATGACACTCAAGCTGCATGAAAAATCCTATTAATAAAAACATTAAAAAACAGTGACTTAGTAAGGGCGAGTGAAAAAGTCAGTAGATATTGGTGTTTCCTTCAAAATATTGATAAGTCGTTTATCAAAAAAGCCTTTTAAACAATAGGAAATCTGCTGTTTGTGTTAAATACAACAGAAGCCATGATCTGAAAAACCGTTGCTACATCAATCTGTGAAAGCCGCTTAGAAAACTTTCTCCATGGACCACCTTCTCTTGGCCTGTGGTGTACTAGAAGGTGTTTGCGGGTAAAAAAAGTTTTTTTTCTACCTGGCAATGGTCATAATGTTACGACCTACGGGTGTGGAAACATCCAAGATGGTAACCAAACCCTTGTAGCCGTTAACATCCCTGCAAACTCAACAGCTGAGACATTGTTTAGAAAAACTGCTCACACACCCCTCCGAAAAAGAAAAAAAAAAGTTTTAAGGCTAAAGAACTTGTTTGGCAAGTTTGACAAATGCAGGAACAGGACAGCAGACAAAGTGGCAAAGTCAAATCTGAATAAACCGCAAGATTCCTGGCTCTTTAAGACCAACTGGGCCAAAAGGGAGATTTTCAGACGCGGTATAGAGTGCCATATTTGGTGACTCAGACAGTTTAAAGAGCCTGTCATTTTTCCCCTTATTAGGGGCATACGGGCATCAGTTCTAGTCCCCTTAGACACTAGAAAAAGTGAGCCATCAGAAAAAACACTGGTGTTACTTAGACGAATTGAGATGAACATGGGACAATTATGTCATAAACCCATCGAAAAGGGATGGGTTCATGTGCATTATCTAGTCAATCCTATGTAATATCTAGCCATGCCTTGACCTATATCTTGTGGGGTTCAACCAAAAAAGGAGGGGAGTGTAGAAAGATGGTGGCGTGAGAGTATGGAAAGCGTTGTGGCTCAGTCCACCCCGTCCTCTCAAAAGCCCTGCTGTTTTACAGCTTTTTGGAGACATTATAGGACATTTCATCGCCAAGAAATTGTGTTAACTTGCTAGGAAAAGGTCAACCTCAATAAAATTGCTTAAAGATTTCAGTTAGCATTTAGCTACACAGTGCTGCAAAGACATTTTGACAGAGTAAAAACCTGAAAAACAACATTGAGCCATCAGTTCGTGAGGGTTTGTGGCCTAGCGTAAGTCTAGACATGAAACCAATTGATACACAGTGGGATGGCCCTAACCAGGCCACTCTCACCTCAAAACCCACAGATGTACCTGAATTAAAACTTTTTTTCTTCTTTTGAACAAGGGACAAAGCTTCACGCTTATATAGTGACGTAAAAAGACTCATTGCGAATTATGGCAAATGCTTGATGGCATTTGTGCCACCAACAGTGGCCTGACCAGTGATAAGGGGTCAGTTATTTATTTATTTTGTGTAGGTTGCGGTTAGTTGGGATTGCTTTTTTTCGTTAATAATGAAATATCTCCTCTTAGTGTGATGTTTAATTTGAAGATCCATGTGGGGGGGGGGGGGGGGGAAGAGCAAAAACAGATTAAAGTGAGCAAATACTTTTGAAAACACCCAATATATAATTTGTGTAAAGAGAAATATGTACTGCGTTCCAAACTTTCATACAATTATCAGTTCTATTTACTCTCCTAGACCGTCTAACTAACTGATAACACATTGCTGTTTTACTTGTGCCTTCTGTTAATCCCAGTTGATAAATCCAACATTCTCTAATGGGGTTAAGATGAAGATTTTTTTGACGAGTCCCATAATGCCTTAGCCATTGAATCTCAATGGGAATTAAGCAAAAGAAAATTCTAATTCAATGCACTTTACCGAGACAAGAATCAGGTTGGTTAAAAGTTTCTGTCAAGGAAATACAGTTGACTGCATCAAGTCATTGACTTGCAAGACGTGCTCCTCCTGAATGAGCTTGTGGCGACAATTTTTGCTTGCATTTTGTGACTCACACTGAGCATGCATGCAGCAACGGTGGATTGGAAAAACTCCCCTTTAAAAATGAAGAAACCTCCAGCAGAACCAGGCTCAGTGTGAGCGGCCTTCTAAAGAGGCCAACTGGGGTTCAAGGAGACAGAAGCAAATACATATGAAAGGTAAATGTTGACTAGCACCACTGGTGAACCCGTCCAGGAACGACACAGCCAGGTTGATGAGCTCCAAGCCAGCTCCCACATCAAAGTGGAAGTAAAGCCACCAATCCTCTCAGAATCTGTGTAGGAACGAGGAGGCTGAATCTTGGTTCTATAACAGCACTCCGAATAGTGCTTGGTTCTGTGGTGATGCTGGCTTGTACCGCTTTGAGGGAGAACACGCTGATAACAAGAACAGATGGGGGCAGAGGGACAAACAGGAACTCACTTGGAGGCAGATTCTCTGTCTTGTAATCCCAGGGGATTTCTTGTTCAGGGGACATAAACACAGTCAGAGCTAAGAAGTTTGAAGCAGGAGGTATCCGAGGTGAAGACAAGAATTGGTTGTCAGGGGGCAAAATCCAGGAATCAGAAAGCTCAGAGTAGTCCGGTAAGGGCATGCATAGGTGTGGAATCATTTGAAAGAATTATGATTTAAAACTCTAGATTAAGGAGAGAATAACCCTACTGGTGTTGTTTGTTGTCCACCCTTGTATGTCCTGCTGAATTTCATTGTGTTCCTGATATCTTACAGAAACACAACTTTCTACATGGCAGTAATTATAAGTCTTTCCTTCACTGTTCACTATTGTTCCAGGTTTACAACGCTTAGAGGCACAATTTTTTTCTTTAGCATATCCAGAAAAATCCAAGTACAGTACTTTGGCTAGCTACAAGACTTTTAAGTACTCTATCATTTCATTTCTGTCCTCCTTTCTCTAGGCAGCAGGGAAGCGGCATTCACCTATGCCATCACAGCTGCTGGAGTTGCACATGCGGTGACAGCCGCCTGTAGCCAAGGCAACCTAAGCCAATGTGGCTGCGACCGTGAGAAGCAGGGCTACCATGATCGGGAGGAGGGCTGGAAGTGGGGGGGCTGCTCAGCGGACGTCAAGTACGGCGTGGAGTTTTCAAGACGATTTGTAGACGCTCGCGAGATCAAGAAAAACGCCCGCCGGCTAATGAACCTCCACAATAACGAAGCAGGACGAAAGGTAATGCAATGAGGTTTTATTGCTAAAAAAATGGAGCTTGACTTGAACTTTGACACCCAAGTAACCCATGAATTTACGTTGGCTTGCCAGGTGTAGGATCTCAAAATACTTGATGTCCTACAACAGGAGCAACATTAACTTTGAACAAATGATGCTTATAAATTTCTTGAACAAAACAGCAATATGTTTAATTATTTCCCACCCATTTTCCCCACCCAGAAGTCTCAGACTGCAACTAAGTCACAAGAGAGAAAGCAAGAGAAGGTACACAAATGGTTTGACCAGCTAGTCACTGCAGAAGCCACGTTATAAATAATTTTGAGTTTTTTTTTTTTTTTTTAGTAGCTCATCATTTCTTCATGATTCAAAATCTAAAAAAATCCTACTTACTTCAGCCTCTCGATAGTTAGTTTGAAGGAGTTACATTTCCTCAGACTTTTTCTGTTTGCATAGCAGTTATTAGGTTTGGACGTGGCATAAAGTTCAGCTCACCATGATGTCGCAATGACATAATAACTTTCTTATTTAAACAGTCTTATGGCCAGTGTTGTCTTAAAAGTGTAAGCCAGACATTACCCAAGCCAGAACTTGAGAGCCACTGTCCTACAAGTTTTAAAGGTTCCATTGCTTTAGCTTCGCTGGTTTCCATTGATAAGTGATTAACAGGCTTTTGCTGAACTGCAATCATCGTAATCAGCTTTGGACGGCAGCCCTGTTGAGTGCTATAACTATTATTACTCAGTCCTTACATTATATATTTAGTTAACTCAGTCAAGTCTGCCAAACTTTAGCATTTAGGACTTGTTTAAGCAGCAATGCATGCATTGACATATTATTTAGTCTGGTGTGAATTTAAATGGTCTGTCTCTTTGCAGTAGCTTCAATTAAATAAGTGATTATTAAATTTATTAATGATTTTTTTTATTAGTTGCAAGAAAATATGCTTAGGAAGAGCCAGCACTGTGAACTTCACCACAAGGGGAATTCATTGGATTACAATGCCATAATGGGCTGCTCAGTGACGCAGTGGGTAGCACTGCAGCAAGAAGGTTCTGGGTTCAATTCCTGGCCCTACCTGCATAGAGTTTGCATGTTTTCCCTGTGCATGGTTGAGTTCCCTTTAGGTACTCCAGCTTCCTCCCACAGTCCAAAAACATGAATTTTAGGTCAATTCGCTCCTCTAAATTCTCCTTATGTGTGCGTGTGTGCGTGAATGGTTATTTGTACTGTTTGATAGACTGGCGACCTGTCCAGGATGTACCCCGTCTCTTGCCTTTAGACAGCGGGAGATAGGCAACAGCCCCCCTCACTGCCCCAGCAGGGATGAAGTATGACAGAATATGGACGGATTGACAATGCCATATTCATCTATAAAAATATCTAACCACATCTTCTTAGAAGTCTTTCTGGGAGGCATATGGATAACTACCTCTGCTGATGACTTTTTACTTCAAGCTCCTAACTTTATCTCTAAAGGAAGCTTGTATCTTGCATCTGTTTAATAATCTGCATCTCATAGTCACAGGTGAATGCTAGAAACTGGAAGGACTAGTAAAGAGAGCCATCACATTTTAGCTCTGCTCTTTCCTCACAGACTGAGAAACTGCAGCTGTTTCCTTTCTCTTGCCAGAGATGGCAAAAGTACTCACTTTCCGTGCTTGAGTAAAAGTACAGATACTTGTGTTAAAAAATACTCTGGTAAAAGTGGAAGTACTGATTAAATTTCTTTACTCAAGTAAAAGTAACAAAGTACAGGCTTGTAAATTTACTTAAAGTATAAAAGTAAAAGTAGAAACCACTTTTTTCATGCTGTTGCCTACATTTTAAATGGATGTCTGCCAATAGGACTAGATCTCCGTTGTGTTCATTTTCAATCATCTCGTCGTCCATACTACTATGCTAACGCCACCGCCACCAAGCTGCAATGATTTGCCGCGAATTTATACCGCTGAATCTGTCGATTCATCTTGTAGTGGTGTGTCAAATGCAAAGTAGATTCCCATCCAATTAGACTGAATTTGGTATTGATGACGTGAAAAATAATAACGGTAACTCCATTGAAATTATTCAAAACTAAAGTAACGAGCCAATTTTTTTAAATGTAAGGAGTAGAAAGTACAGATATTTGTGTAAAAATGTGAGGAGTAGAAGTAAAAAGTCACCATAAAAATAAGTAGTAAAGTAAAGTAAAAATATCAGAAAAATCTACTTGAGTACAGTAACAAAGTATTTGTACTTCGTTACTTCCCATCTCTGTCTCTTGCATCCATCCAGAACTGGTGAACAAACCAAAAACAAACCAATGAAGTCAGATCTGAGAATATCCTTACAACCCCCCCTCCTTCTTCCTCAGCAAGCACACTTCAGCATGGGTGCACACACCGGCCCAGCCAAAATCCAGAAACTCTTCCAAAACTTTGATACCTGTCAAGAGCGAAGACGCAATCCGCTGATTTGTATAATGATGTGTACGAATGAGAAGCCCTCTGTTATTACAGCTTCAGTTCCTGAATTACAAAAAATATATATTAGGAATGGATCTTGATCAAAGGAAGTTTGTTTTCCCCCCTCTTCACACTGAAATCAATCACCTGACTTTTTTGCCATTTTAATGTATTTGTAGGACTTTATAATCTATATCTGACAGCCATGTAAGACTATACACATGTAGGGTTATACAACAGTTCAGTCCTCTCCTGTCACTCCATGCTGTGGTCTGAGGAAAGGTAATGTTAATTAGAGACTCAGCTTAAAGCTACGAGGTTTCCCTTGATTTTTGGACACAAAGTTGGCTTTAAAAGCTGCTGCACTGGAAGTAAAAGTGGCCACAAAAATCCCAACCTCCCCCCAAAAAGAGCAGACTTAACTATTTACAATGACGTTACATTTATCTTCCAGGTTATTTTTTCAGCTTGTGTTAGTATATTTTTTTTACACATAGTATTAACTCTTCTTTGCAAGCAGATCCTGGAGGAAAAAACCAAGCTGGAGTGCAAGTGTCACGGCGTCTCTGGTTCCTGCACCACCAAGACCTGCTGGATCACCCTGCCCAACTTCAGAGAGATTGGTTACCTTTTGAAAGAGCGCTACACGGAGGCCGTTCAAGTGGAGCCCGTCCGGGCCTCACGGCTACGCCAGCCGTCCTTCCTGCGCCTTAAACAGGCTCTGGGCTACCAGAAGCCCATGGACACGGACCTGGTGTACCTGGAGCGCTCTCCGAACTACTGCGAGGAGGACACGGTCACGGGGAGCCCAGGGACGAGAGGGAGGCTGTGCAACGGCACCTCCACGCACACGGACGGCTGCAACGTGATGTGCTGCGGCCGGGGCTACAACACACACCACTACACGCGTGTCTGGCAGTGCAACTGCAAGTTCCACTGGTGCTGCTTTGTCAATTGCAACACCTGCAGTGAGAAATCAGAGGTTTTCACATGCAAGTAGATGCACGGAACCGAGGGACTCTGAAAGCCAAGGACTTCAGGATATTTATAAATTTTGCACATTTTGGCATCCTATAGAAAAAGGAAACTCACACCAATTGTGAGTTTTGGGATTCACCAGGAGAGACAGAGACAACCATCTATGACAGCTTTTATACTGTTGAACATTTTTATATAAAAGCCACAAAACTTCTAGAGATAATGTTGGGATTTTGTGAAATAGACCCGCACAAAGAAATTAAGTTGTATATTTTTTTCATAATCATGTTTCTGCCAGCTTTTGCACAGCAATCAATATACATTTTTTTGTAAATTCGATAAATCAGAGTGGATTTAGGTGTGAACTTTGACTAGGCCACAATCACTGCAGCTTTGGTTTTGATGTTTTGAGGCATTGCCCTAAAGTAAGATAAACCAATTCATGATGCAGTAATCATTATATATCTCTGCAGAGATGATTGCCTTCAGGGTGAAAGGTTAAAATGTTTATTCAGGTCTTATGCAATGGAAGCATGCTCTTGATCCCCCATAGAGTTTGCAAAAAACAATTGAGCATCTTTGGTTCTCTTTCAAACATGGCTTTTTCTTGGAAATCTCCCATATTGGCCACATTTGTGGTGCAAACAGCTTCCAGTTGTTCTGTTGGCAAAAAACAAAACCAACACAAAAGCAAAAACTGGAATATATGATGCTGGCCCCACTGTGCTCATTCTCTTCTTTTGGTCATAATGATATTAGAGTAATCTGGCCAAAGGACCTTCTTCTTGTTTGTTGAGTGTGATGAGTTCTCTGGACTTCATGGTTCCGTTTTTCTTATCACTGTTCCCTAACGAAACGCTAAATGTATAAGAAGAAGTACACACAAGTATACTTTATTTCCTAGGTGGGCGATTGCCTTCAGAAAGGAATTGGGATTGCTATATTTTATTTTGCAGTGTCGGAGTAAAAGGGGATAAATACAGATTTATGACACACAATTTATAGATTTTAATCTGCGGGTGAAATTCTTGAAATCTACACAAAGATTTCTATCCATTATTAAGCACTTATTTATGTTGGTCTACCACATGAAATAATAAAATACGCTAAAATCTGTGGTTGAACCGAGGCAAGATGTGTGAAAGTGTAAGAAGCTCAATCATTCTTGTAAGGGCTTTTATTCCATACTGGTAGAAAAGGCTGCAGTTTTAAAGGACCTGAGATTTTTTGGGGTTATTTTCAAGATGAACGATATGTTAAGGAGGACATGAGGAAACCGAACATTAGAAATTCACGCAGGACTGCCCTGGAAGAAGCCAGGTTTCATAATGAGGCATCTTCTCACTGTATTCTGTTCAAACACTGAAAAACATGAAGGTATTATTTCTGTAAAACATGCTTTCTCTGAAACATCACAAACCACCCAAACATATGTCCTCCACTATGATCCCTATTACTTATTTAAAGTGAGCTCTAACTTTTTTCAACAAATTCAGATGTTCACTTTTCTTTATTTTGTCGTAGGACATAAGAGTTGTTGTAAAAATGGCACATTTTACATATAAACCACCATCCCATGGCCGGAGCGCATTACTCTCAGCTTCCAACTTGAATGGCAGTCCATCCTGACTGCGCTCATTGTCTTGCTGTTGGACGAGCCCCTGCTCTGCAGAAAACCACCCAGGCCCCCTGTTTGGAAATCCATGTTGGAGCAAACGGGTCCAAAAACATGCAGCATTCCCGTGAGCGGACTGAGACGCAGAATTCCACACAGCAGCCTCTGCTTACACAAAGCCTTCCAGCGTGGTTTAGGTCCGCTCAGGCGAATGGCACGGGACCCTAACCACATGGAAAAGGGGGGAGGTGGGTAGGAAGGGATCAAAGGCTCCTATGCCGTTTCTGTACAGCACCCTTAATGTATTTAAAATTGTTTATTTAGGCTTTGTATGAGTTACAAAACAATTTGAAGAGTATATTTTTATATGAGGAACATGGCACTTTATGTCATTTCTAGTTGGAGAAAGAATGTTATTGATCTCGTCTTATTCATATTTGAAGTAGATAACTTATTTGGAATGTATGTGATTTTGGAATAAAGGTCATGAAATGTAAAATATACCTTAAGGGGGATTGCCCGCTTAAAAGAGAGTGATTTACTTTTGAAAGAAGTTCATAAAAGCTAAGTGACAGAATGAGTTATTCTAGTGAAGTTCCCGGAAACACCACACACATCTTAGTGGTCAGTAAGATCATGGAAAAGTGGGTTTATTTCAGCGACTGACTTCGAAATTGAAACTGATGTATTGCTGGATCCATGGCACTCAGATGAGCATATGTCACGTCTTCATTTCTGGTCATATAATGGTTATGTCTTACAGCTAATTCTGAGCCAGAAGAAAATGTAAATACACCAATAAAAAAAAAAAAGATGAAAAATATCCTCCATAAGGGTGAGCTGCTAAACTCATTGGCAAAGAGGGGTTGCATCTCAGCATGGTAGTGGAAAGTTAGGTGGAAGGAAAACAACACAAGGGACAGAAATAACAGCTGAATTAATTCGATCTTTTCAGTTTGGAGAATTATGAGGCAGTGACTGCAATTGAATCTCTGCTTCAAGATTCACATCACAGAGGTATCCTGGACATGGGATACCTCTAATGTAAAGGTATATCAGAGAGGACATCTGTGGTGTCTTAACTAGGCTAAGGAAAAAAGGATTTAACTATTGCTTATTTGTCCAAATTCCCCATAGAATAACTCCACCGTATTCTGGCTGCAGTTATCTTCTTCCTTGCATCACATTTTGCATTACTGTTCTTAGATACAGGACTTAAACATGTGGCTTTTGTTGCTTACCCACCTTGTGAAGGATGTCAGTTATTGCCCGGCAGCTTTCAACTCCTATCTTTCTCATCTTCGCGCAGATCAGAATAAAACTTTTTTTTGTTTGTTTCAATCGTTTAGTTTTTCTCTATTATTCCAGGTTTTGGAAAAGATTTAAGGATTGATCAATGGATTTTAGCTGTAATAAATGATTTATGAGACTAACTGAGGGAAACAAACTGCTGTTTAAAGAAAAAAGTCTGAGTTTAATTTCAAAGCTTGCCTTTAATGTACTTATTGAATCAAGATTTATTTGAACATACATCATTTCCAGGCTTTACTATATAGAACATTGTATAATGTAAGGCAATCTTTATGGGGTGCCAGTGGGGACAATGCAGCAGAGGCCTATGATGTAAAACGCTGATACTGGAAATAATAAAGTTCTTGCACCGTCTGATTACTTAGATGAACGCCCCCGGGTTCCATTCCTGCCACCTCTTTCAGCGCCAGCTGATTTCCACGCCACTCTTTCCTGTGGGGCTGAAAGGCTTTGTGGCCGCCCAGTGGAGCGTTAGTAATGGCTGTTATGTTAGCCGTCTGAAATCCTGGTGAAGCTGAGCCCTATAAGCTCCCTCTACTATGCTGCCGGGTCGGCAGGGAAGCCCATCCGATTGTTTCAACCCGTTTTGTCATTAAAATCAGAGGCAGAGCAAACAGGGTGGAGCAGGGCGTGGGCGAACCCGGATAGCTCCGCATTGTGTAGTTGTCAGAACTGTTCAGCTTACTGAGCGGCAGGAGGAGCACAGGAAGGAGCATCATTCTGCAAACTTAGCACTTCTTATGTGATTCCCTCTGCCTTTCATGCATTCCTACCTCTACTCTATAGATAGGCATTTCTAGAACATGCAAAGGCTGAATATGAATTTCTCTGAGGCGAGACAGGCTATTTAAATTAATTTTAATGAGATAACTAAGAATTTCAGCAGTTATCCCATATGGAAGATGTATTAGAAATCCCAAATGCAGATTACCAAACCATTTAGTGCTAAATCTATTAGAAATTCATTATTAAACTCCACGTTTTAGCATCTTAAAACTGGAAAACAAACATTTTGAGTAATTTAACAAAAAAAATTACAAAAGATAGGAACCACACAAAGATGTGTACAATTCCTTCTTAAATGCTGCATTATCTCACACTAAAAAGAGGGGAAAAACTTGAGTTCGTCTTTAGGCCCTTGTTGTTATCTAAACCCTGAGGGATTCTGTTGATCCGACTAAATCACCCAACGATTATCCTGTTTTTCAATATGGAGATAAGAGTTTTTATAACAGTCACATTACAAAAAGTTTTTACATTTCAACAGGGATCCAAGGCTTGTTTTTTTGTTTTTTTAAATAATATCTTCACTGTTTTTTTTTTACCAAATCTGCAAAAAATATCAAATCACAATTTCAACTGTATATCCCTTTGATGCAGACTCTAGGCCGCCTTAGAGTCAACTGGATGAGCTTTTACCGCTTCTTTCTCAACTTAAATGTCCAAACTTCTCCATTTTCAAATTCCCAGAATTCCCAGTTCTTTATTTAAAAAAGTAAAGTTGGTGAAAAAAAAATAAGGATAATATTTTTGCAACAGAGAGGTTTAAAATTATAACAGGGAGAAGACCAGAAGAGAGAGGAAAAGGGGTCAAAGGAAGGCATGGCGGCGAGGAATAAGGGACAGAATGCTAGAAGAAGGCATAAACAAGGCAAAATCAAAAGAAATTATGCAAGTAATAAAGGAAAGGAGGCAAGGAGGGTAGGAAGCAAGTGAAAATAAAGGAAGGATATAAGTTTATAACAAATAGAAAGGTGTAAACATATTTTTAATATAGCAATAGTACGATTTATCTTAAAGGTGTCTAAAAGACGAGAGGAGTCTCTTATGTCCTCAAAGAGAGATTTTTCTGTGCAGCAACAAAAGATCAATCAACTTTGAAGCTTTTTACATGTTTTTAACAGAGATTCCAATAAAGGTTCTATTGTTTTTTTTATTGTTTCCAGAAAAACTGCTTCACTTTGTTGCGTCTTCCGTCCCTCAGTCAAAGCTTAAAGTTTTTTTCTAGTGTTCAATGCTTTCTTATTACAATACTAATAAAAGGTCTGGTCGGACATGCAGTTATTTTAAGCGGTTTAATAAGTAGAGCTTCATGATATTTTAATTAGGTGAGGCCACGAGGGGGTAGATTACATCATGGTTTAGACATTCTCTTTCATGGTTACGGCAAAAGCCACGACGGGTCTGAGATTAAACTCCAGCTCCTGCTGCTGACTTGACCGTGTTTGAAAAGCCAAAAAAGCCTCGACCCTGTGGTGCTCTTGTTTTTGGATTAAACCACAAAGACCTCGACATCTCTAGAAGGTGCCAGCGTGTGTTTGCCACTCACAGACTCCTCATTTCCCACTCGGATCAGGGCAAAGCAGGAGCTCCTGACATCCTGACCTCAGGGGCTTTCTATAACTGTGCTGAGGTAGAAAAGTTTTCTTTTTAAGACTTTTCTGATTTATATTTTTGAAGGAAAAGCATCTTAATTTGGTAAATACAGAGTGCAAGCTTAACTTGTCACTCTTTAGCTGCTCTGCATGAAAATCCACTGTTGTCTTTAGGAGTCCTTCCTCACAGATTTAAGCAGTAAGCTTCCATCTCGCTCTTCAACGAGGAATCCCAGCTCCCTGAGGGCAGAGTAGTCTGCCGGGCCACGTCTCTTCAGAGAAGCCACCAGCTGCTGGCTCTGCGGGTTGTTTTCTAGAAGGTTCCTGATAGCGAAGATGGCCCACTGGCTGATAACTGGAGGCAGTCGATTAAGGAAAGAAGAGCTTTAACCAACATCCTGCTTTAATCATCCTATTTAACAAAAAGTATCCCCATACTTTGAATGCTCCATTTTGCATCACAAACAAAACCTTTGAGGGATTTTAATCTAAACAACAAAACTAACTAAAGCATCAATGTCGAGAAAATTAAGTTGGTTTTAGAGTCTTGTACAAAAAAAAATAAGAAGAGCATCCATTTTTTCCCCAATCAGCCCACTTGTATCAATAATTCTGCAGGGTCTTATTTCGTTTTTAATAATGTTTAATTATAAAAACCTGACTGCATTGGTGCACTGTGAGGTTTCCTGCAATGTTAGAACCAGAAATCTATTTGAAGACTTCAAATTAAAAGCAAGCTAGCTTCCTATCACAAACAAGTGTTATGCTGGAAACTTATTTACACGCACAATTCCACTTCCCATTAAACTCCTATCTGGAATAATAGATATGGGCTACATAGAAATAAGTTTCTGTATTTGGATCACTGGATGGAAAAGGGCAATTGATCTATAAACATTTGCTAAACGACAATGGAGGTTGGCTGTCCTATGAGGATTTTGGCTTACTTTATAATTTAAACTGTTCATATGCCCAGCTTAACAGTCATAAACCCTAATCTGGCAGCAAAATCATGCTGCTGGCTATTTCCGAAGGCTTTGAATAAAACTTCTGGAATAAACTTCCAGTCCTGACAGTGCAGGAGACCCCATTTTGAATTTCAACTGATAACGATTTTGAATGTAACTTCCTTAAACTTGCAGAAATACTGATAGCTTCATTCTTTCTGTTAATAAACTTTACAGATATGCAGTTGTTCTGAGGACGTTCTGAGGCAACTAGACCACATGGTGAAACATGATGGAGGCAGCGTCATGCTGTGAGGATGCTGTTTTTTTATTAGGATTCAAAAACACTGCTTAGAGGAAATACGTTTTGAAGGCTCAGACGGGTGTAATATCATGGTTCAGATCTAAGAATGTTCATGTGCGCATTGTTTACTTAAAGGAATGGAGGGGGAAAAAATTAGATTTGCAAAACTCAGATATTTCCTAAAAGAATTAATGTTTAAACTGCAGAAGAAGTTTTTCATGTTTTTTTTCTATTTTGTAAAAACGAAAAACGATTAAAAACCATAAACTATTTCTTCTTCCCAAAACCAAAATGATCTGAAATATGTATCTACCCATAACAACATGTTTCTTCTCTGTTCTGGTATGGAATCCCTACAACCGGGTAAAACAGTAGTTTTCTTTCTCAGGATGTCAAACTCTTGTCCGGATTGTGTTTGTCTTGGGTCAAGGAGAACACAGCCATCCCAACCCAAACAAAGCAGTTTTGAAGACATGTTACACATCTCCGCTTTCTCCTCTAATGTTTCCCACACTTTTCTTGAAGAATCTTTTTGTTTTTGAAGAGAAACACGGTCTGACAACACAGACAGGCAAAGGGAGTTAGCACCATTTACCGCAGTCTGGGAGGCCTACATGGGAACAAAGGATCAGCTCAGCCTCCACTTGTAAAAAGGCAGTCTCACAGAAAAATCTGTTGTTGCAAACTAAAAATAGCTGATGTGTTAACAACCAGCAAGGTTTGGGGTTTAGAATTTGGTCCTCTGATGTAGGATAGTCTTAGAACGTTTTACTTGCTGCTTTCTTGACTCTTCAGCCTCAGTGTTGCAGATCCAAGAGTCATGTAGATTTCTGCACTGCTATCATCAGCCTTCCTAAGCACAATTACCGTATTTTCTGGACTATAGAGCTTTTAGAGACTTTGATATCCCTTTCTGGCAGTTAGGAAAAAATCTACAGAAAAGCTGCACCTTCTTACAAGCCAAATGGTTCAAAGCATGTGAAAAAATAAAAGGCTTATATAGTTTGGAAAATATGGTATTTTAGCGTGCTGCAGAGCTTTGTGTGAATACCTGAGTGCAGAAGAGGTAGTGCCAACGATTATACCTTCTAACTAACTAATAAAATAATTGTTGGGATTATTTTTTTGGCATTCATGTATGTTCTTGTTAAACCCCAATATCACCTACCTGTTAAGCCTGGCCTACACTACGCGATATTTTCAATAGTTGCACGCAGCTACAGCTTAAACTGTATAATGAAACCGTAGGATTTAGATGTTCACAGCTCACAATGTTTGTTCTAACAATGTACGGCCTGACACACTGATGCAATCTAACTGCTCCCACCGACCATCAAGAAACCACACATCTGGCGCTGATTGGACTCGTCAATCTGGAAGAAAAACAAGAACTCCCTTTTTTGTCCATGCGCAGTGTTCGAGGTTGCAGTAAATCAACACGTAGCTCTGATTTAACAGCAGGATTTGTCCACGAACACCTCACAACGGCTGACTGAATTTCAAACATGTTTGATTTTCTCCCGACCTTACGATTCCCGATCGGGAGGTGGTCGTGAGAGGCCGATCACCCCTCGTTACCCCCTGTCTACTACACAAAGCAGGATGCACGATGAGGCTGAAACTAAGCCCGATCGAAAAAATTCTTGCACGACTGGAGAATCGGCCAGAAATAGGCACAAAAAAAAAATCGTACAGTGTATGCCTGGCTTTAAGTATTAAGGCTAATGTTTGTTAAAGCAGTTTATGAAGTTAAGTGTTTTCTGTCACTGCGCATTCAGATTTAAATATTGAACATATACTTCACATAATGCAAAAGAAAGCTTCGTTTTAGTATTAATGCACAATTTGGAGGTGTGTGCACTTCCTTGCTAAAAAAAACCTTTCAACAAAAGTGGAAAAAAAGGTTGAAATTTGATCTCTATACATATTTTTGCCTTTTTTTTGGGTTCACACTGCATAAGGTTAAACCAGGGGTATCAAACTGGTTCCAGAAAGGGCCGTGTGGCTACAGGTTTTCTTTCCAACCAAGCAATAGCACACCAGACCCCAGTCATCTCATCAAGTGAGTCCAATCTGAACATGATGTCTTGATAAGATGAATGGAGTCTGGTGAGCTATTGCTTGGTTGGAAAGAAAACCTGCAGCCACACGGCCCTTTCTGGAACCAGTTTGACACCGCTGCGTTAAACTGTTGCATTTCTTTTTTTTTCACAATGCATCCCCATAAAGATTATGTAAAAAGGAGTATACGCGTTTTATTAATAGATTTTAACGTTAATCTATGAAAGTCCCTCCTATGCATCGATTCCACAAACTGATAGGTAACAAGTTGTGTTTCACTAAAGCAAACATACCACCATGTTTCCAACCTTACAAATTGTGGCATATTAAAGTAAGTAGTTGTAGAAACAGACGGATAAGAGAAGAAGAATAAAAAACGTGAAGGATCCCACATTATGAAAGGATACAAGGATTGTTTCCGTCTATGTTGCAGTTGTCCAAGATGAGTGGGATGCCATCCAGGTCTCTCACCTGAGGAGGTAACATTGCAAAGGAAAAATATTTCATCAAATTACTGCAGAATTTTTAGTTACTTAAATCATCTATCGCTTTAGGAAACAAATTATGACATTATAATCATCTGATCTATTTATGACTTCTGATTTTTATTTCCATTTTAGTTTGAATTCATATATTTTTTTTAGCTAATTTAGATTTAATTTTTGAAGACAAAATTAGTTGAGTTTTTATTCATTTCAGATATAGATTTATGAGAATGCTTCCCTTTCTTAACACATGTACCCCTTTGGGCATTTTTTCACTGCATAGAACGTACAGTACAATAACAAATTATAAAATAAAGACAATTTTACTTTTAATTTGAGCATTTAATTCTTATAATTTTATGCTTTCCATTTCAAAATCAAATTTAAAAAAAACAACATAAATGTTGCCTGGAAGTTCGTAAGGAATTGAAAAAGATACAAAATAAAATCATATAATAAACCTGGATTTATAACTCTGGAGCTCCTCTGAGAAACTCCCTTGTAAATACATTTAAATTTGATTAATTGGGAACAAAATACTGAACAAAAATTGTAGTCAGACTTAATTGGTTTTACTTCGATTTCATCAAAACACCTGAGCTGCTTTGATGAGCTTTAATAGCTCAGAGTGAAAAACAGCTGATAACAGGCTGTTCTCTACATCCAGTCTTTTCCTCTGCTGGGTTTTAATGTATGTCAAAGCTGATGGTGAACTCAAACATATAAGAAAAACTTACTTTTTGGTTAATAAAAGCTTGTTTGATTTTCAATTAGGTCTTTACAAAGCAAAACAGATCCCAGGCCTATTTTTACAACCTAAGAAACAAAATATGGTAAATGGTAAATGGCATGTACTTATATAGCGCCTTTTTTCAAGTCAGGTAACTTGACCAAAGCGCTTTACACTACATTCATTCACCCATTCACGCACACACTGATGGTGGCAACCTACATTGTAGCCACAGCTGCCCTGGGGCTCACTGACAGAAGCGGGGCTGCCGTACACTGGCGCCACCGGGCCCTCTGACCACCATCAGTAGACAATGCAGGTGAAGTGTCTTGCCCAAGGACACAACGACACTGAAAGTCAGAGCCGGGGCTTGAACCGTCAACCCTTCAATTTCAGGGCAAACTCCTACATCCAACTAGCCTGGGTGCCAGTCCGAACTTAGTCCCGCCCACAAGGTTTGAGTTCGGGGAAGTTCGGTCTGGCTCTGCTCCATAGTAGCGCGAGTATTAAAGCCCACTGTCAGGCGATCCAATCAAATTGTCAGGGCGGGCTTTATACGATGATGGACAGATGATCAAGAGTAACGTTATCAACCACGTGACCAAAGCGCGCTTGGGTGACAACAACAATGGCTGCCGCTGGAGAGTTTGGGTGAGTAGATTCTGCTATTAGGTCTGTTCTAGAAGATATCGACAGCAAATTAATTTTAAAAGAGGAACAGAGAAACGCGATCAAGTCTCATCTTCTTATTCTAGGCGTGAAACTGCACGCTTTGATTTTTGTGGACAACAACTATGCCTCGCTTAAGATACGTCACGCACTCCGTTGCTCTTATTGGTTGTAGGTCTATCCAATTGAGTGCAGAGGCTTTTTTTTCCTGGTTCGTTCAAAACACGCCCCATAATCACAGCTCTATGGAGCAGTATCAGACTCATATTCTGACTAGAATTGAGTCAGACTACGTCAGGCTAACATCCAACGCCACTGTCGCCCCAAAATATTTTTTTAAGTACCCCTTGCAATGCACAGACAGACCACTAGGGGTATGCATACGCCTGGTTGGGAAACATTGCTTTATGCAATACGACAAGACAAAAAAAAAAGAAAAAAGAAACAATTAATAATAGAAATAAAATCCCAGATAAGGACAGGCTGCTTTGACAGCACCAGCTAATTGTGTTAAAGGAAACTTGAAAAAAAGACCATAAATTAATCGATTATGATAAAGACACAAACGAAAAACGAAGCACATTCTCTCTTAAAATTCAGTTCGCTTTAATTTGTCTTGCCTTATTACACTTTCTCTTCAGGCTTTTTCGCTTTTTAAAAGCTTTTATTTCATTTTTATTCCAACTTAACAAAAAGGCTTTTAAGTTTTCCTTATTTTGTTATTTTTAGATAACAAAAATAACCTTTGCCTAATTACAACTTCTAATTTTATAATCCTATACTTAGAAGTATAACATTTAATTTCAGTCTGACAGGGCTTCGTTCTGTCCAGTTTGGGTTCATTTTTAAGGTGAGAAATTTTATGTATGTATTTTCCTAATACTCTGTTGCTTTAGAAACCTTAAAGAGACAAGAAATCAGATTGCACCTTGAAAAATCCATTCTTCACTAAGACTTTTCCCAGCATCTAATGAAATAAACAAAACCTGCCTCTGCTGATTACTCCTTTGTTTAAATTCCCCAACATTTATTACCCTCTCTTTATAAAACCCAGTGGATTTTAAAATGGTGAAACATAGAGTTGTCTTTAGCAGAGCCTCAAATGTAAGGAAAAGCACCAGTGTTAGTCTAAGACCACCACACTGGGGGATCTGCTCTTCATCATGCGTCTGATCCTATAGGCTGATGACTGTGTGTTGCCATTGTGGTTACCCTCCAAACAGCCTGGCAGGGAGCAGGAGAACAAGAGCGTTTCAGAAAATGGAATAGTCATTTAGATGGTCTAAGAAGCTCGTGTCTGTGCTTCTCTCCGCTCTGAGAACAAAAGCTGCTTACATTACGTCCAAACCCATAAAGGGATGAATAACAAGCGAGCAGACCCCTTCCTTCAGACCGGTACGAGCTGTTCAGTGCTTCGCATGCACATCTTAAATTACCCTCTCTGCCAAAAGGTGAACAGAATGACATTCGGTTTACTGGAAGAAATCCTCGTGAAAACAGATACGGGGGTGATTTCTGACCGCTGACGGACCACAGATCAGCATCCATAAATATTACGGAGAGGCCAGCTGAGGGTGGTCATCCCACAGGCATTCCACAAATCTCTTTCTATTAAGTACAACTGGGTGGATGGAGAGGCCGGCTCTTCCCTGACTGCTTCCTTATCTGTCTGCTAGATGCTGGCAGGCGACGTAGAAGTGAAGCTGATAAGATCTCTAGAAGTAAAGCAGTTTCGGGTTGAAGTCGACGAGAAAGGAAGATGAAAGACAGGACTGTCCGATTCAGATGAAAAAGAGGGGGAATCTAAAATCCTAGAAAAGCAAATAGAACTGATCTTTAAACATCTTGTTACTTTATACGTGTCATTTATAATTCAGACCTTGTTCTGATTGGCGGCGTTGTTGTGGCAGAGGTTTCCTATCAGCCTAATGAGGTGAGCCTTAAAGCTTATGACTGGAGAATATGAGGATGGGTCATCCTCTCCAGTAAAGGAGGAGAAGCTCTGAGTGGCGCTGAAAATATTCTTGCTGGATTTCCCAATAGTATGCACTTGCTGCAGAAGCCCTGTAAAAGAAAAAAAAAGGATAAACAGAGAGGAAAAATACAAACTTCAGCAGTTTATTCTCTGTGTATTTAGCTGGTTTGCTGAAAACTTTTCTCTCCTTTTGCATTTGTGCTTGGCTTTTATTGCTTGTGCACACTGAGGAGGCCTTCTGGCAGGGGTCTTAAGTGTCTGTCCTGATGGGGATTTGATGGGAATCAGGATGTTTGGACCCCAGTCAGGGAGGTGGTCTGTTTTTTCATTTACCAACTGTAGTTTCTAGAAGATCAGGATGCTCCTGCAGGAACATGAACTGCTTGTCGTCTGAGGTCATCTCACACAGCACGTCTAGCAAACTTATTACAGTCAGCGCCTCCTGCAGGACCTGATAAGGATTGCAGCCCACAGCACAGAGACTTAGAAAAGAAAAAAAAAGATCTATTGGGTTTAAATATACCAGCTAATGCGTTTCCTACCTCGTTGCTGGAAGCAGAACCTGTAGCGAGTGTGAGAACCGCGCCACAGCCTTTCTGGAAGGAACCGGCCAGGAAATGGGCCACACTGGGGGGGACGCCGCAGCCCTCTGAGCCCTCTTCTCTTAACTGGGCCAAGAGCAGCTCTAATAGAGTTACTCTGAAAAACATTTATAGACACATTTCAGCAGCATTTCTTAACTTTTTCTTCTTCTCCATACAGTAAAAGAATATTTAACAAACATCTGAATCAAAGTTTCAGGTTAGATCTTAAAGGAAATATGTCTGTTTCTGCCTTTTGTTTATTTTATTTTAATAAAGATTACCTGTCATGATGGGACATCCCAGAATACATGCTTTCCACCAGAGCTGAAGACTTGAGGAAATGCTGGGTTGCAATGAGGACGCTGGAATTGCATTGAAATTCAATTGTCAGGTTAAGCATAATTTTTCAAAAGTCTGCTAAACAAATAATTTTTTATAAATTGTTGATGGAGACATTCAAAAACATTTGCCGAGCTCTGCATTATTTTTCACAATGTTGAAGAATGTTTTGTTTAGTGTTGGTGTAACTATGCCATGAAAATGAGCTCATTTTGACTGAGAAGACTGTTCAAATGGGAAAGAGAGGAGCAAAGGCCCATAGAAAGTTAAATGCGACATTAATACTCTTCATGAAATAAAAATAAATACATTACCTTAAAAAATATGCAGCCAGGGCAACAATTAAAATAACTTAGAACTATAATTCTGACAACTATGGCTGAACGAGGACCCGTGTTTATTTTGTCATGAGATAAGAGTAAAGAGAATGTTAAGGAGATGAAAAATATATAAAAAAAGATTAAAGAAAGATGTTAGGAAGCTTCTTATAGATGATTGTGTTTGGATTCTGCAGCGAAAACAGAAAAAACTATTTTAAAATCTAAGATAAGCAGATTTAGGTGATTATTTAAAAGTCATTTAAAAGTCCATAATTTCTCCTCTGTGGGTTAAACTAAGAGGTCAAATTTCAAAACTGCATGACAATAAAGTAAATCTCTTCTTTTAGCTTTTATATATGGATCTTTGCTGTAGCTGACTTTAGGCCTGAAACAATCTGATTAATCGATTACTGAAATAATCATCAACTAATTTAGTAATCCATTAGTAATTAACTGGAGTATAGAAACTCCAGCTGATAGAGAGACCAATTAGACTAGTAATTATACAAAAACTGTAAAAAAAAAAAAAACATATATTTTGTATTTAAGATTTTTTTGTAAATTCGTCTGTTATTGTGCTCTATACAGAATTCCTAAAGTAGAAGATTTTTCATTTCACCTAGTTTGATTCTGTAAAAAATCTTTAAGGATTCTTTTGCTATCCAATTATTAATTGATAAATCAAAACAAAAATAATTGTTAATTGCCGCCCTAGCTAACAGTCCAGTCCAGACCTCAAACAATCATAGCCTTCATATCTTTTTTAGCAACATTAATGGATGGAGAATCTTTTCAGTGACCGGCCTCTGAGATTTCTTGGGAAAATTACTCACACTGCCTCCAACTTTAAACAATTCAGCACTTTCCTGACATTCCCTCAACAGTTTCTTTATTCTAACTGTGGAGGTTCCTCCTACTGTTTCAATGTCATTATTTTATTATTTCTTTCACACAGCATATCTATTTTAGGACTTACTAATATGGGTGCGAACATTTAGTAAACACCCTATCTATGTACAGTATTTGAAGAAAACTGTTTTTCTTTTGCTGAGGTTGAAAGAACTATGTAGCTGGGGGAGCAAATATGGTATAACACCAGGAAGTGGAGGAATCCAACAAGCTTCTGAGACTGGGGAACTTGACTCTGAAGAAGCTGTAAAACAATACATTTTGATGTTTGAATGTCTTAGTTTGACTTAGTTTTGTTTTGGTCCACCCTTATAAAGCCTCAAACTCAACACTAATTCTGACATTTTGAATTGAAAAAGCTTCTTGGATGGGAAGCAAAACGTCTTCAAACTCGGAAACTAAGTCCAGTGGATTGTTTTTAACTTTTTTTAAATATCCCTGTGTTCATTGTAAGAGGTCAGTTCTGGTTTGTTATCCTTTGTCAGATTTGTCTTAGTTGACATCTTTTTTTGGGCCAATTTTCGAGTCTTTTGAGGGATTTTGTTTGGATGATATTTTTTCTACACCTTAGTCTTTTGCCTGACAGCTTGGTCGCTGACAATAACCAAAATATCAGTATCTAAAATAAGGTAATTCACTTCATTCTAACTTAAATGAGGACATTACCTACAAACAGATTAAGAAGAGAGGGGGTCTGCTTTCATATACATGAACAGAAGGATGATGAGCCTTCAGACTTACGTCCAGTCCAGGTCAGGCTGGGTCCTACACAGCTCCATCACTTTGAGGGCCAGCAGGATGTTTTGTGGCTTCGACAGATCCTCCACTTTGGCCTCATCCAGACACGTGTGGATAACCATAGAGGTGTAGCTGACCACTTTCTCATCGTCAACGTTGAGCAGCTGCCTGTTCGCACACAAACGGGGCCACCCAGTTTAAGCATCCATAACAGATGGTTACAACTAAGGACCAAGTGTTGGGGTGATTCTTATTCTATGAAAACGTTCTCACAAGAGGACATCGGGGAGGCTGTGCTGCCAAATTTCATCCTTGCTCATCTGGTTTCCTACGGCGAGGTTGCCAAGAAACTGGATCCCACAGCGAAGAGCTGGACCACAGAGGAAGACAAATGAGCGGATGATTAGATAGGAGGAGAGGAAAACAAACTGAGCTCAGATCAATATCATGACGGTCATCATTTGATCATCATCATTTCATTACTTCCTCATTTGACTTCTTTTCTACAGCTTTGACTCCGACTCACGTTCATATAGGGCGTCTTTTTGGTCCAAATTTGTGGTTTGAAGATAACTCAAGAGTTTAATGGATACACCGATGAATCCAAGTTCCCTGGAGAAGAACAGAAGGTTGTAAACAACAAGTGCAAACCATCAACACAATTTTAAAGGTAACTTTGGAACCCTTTAAAATTTTTTGTTCCCCTTTAGAACGACAAATGGCCACATACTTCTAGGAATTTGACATATTAGACCAACACAAAGAAATTAGCACATAATTGGGTCTGTCAAAAAAAACCTTCCCTTTGTGAAACACGTGGTGGAAGCATCATGCTGTGGGAAGACTTTAACCTTACCTTAAGGTAAAGCTAGTTAGAGCAGACTGGAGGTCATATAAAGCTAAATGCTGGGCAGAAATGGTGATTAGTGGTGGATGGGATTAAAAACTAATCAAATTAACGGCTTTCTAATACAATAATCATTACTTTTTTGAATCAAAAGTTCAACACTTGCTACAATAAATACATTATTTTTTCAACTGCAATACATTTAAAGGACTAATTTGACAAATAAACATATAAATTATAAATTACAGCTATTTCTGCCTCAGTTTAGCAGAAACTAGCATATTTATGCTTTGCTGGTTCCACCATCCAGATCCAGCTGCATTCAGATGTCCTATGGCTACTAAACCTGGAGCTTCACACTTCATCTTCAAAACCTCATGCTGAGAAAATGTTACGGTAAATACTTCCACATTTTACTGAACAGAGATTCTTTCATTCATTCTCACTCTGTAATTCCTTTAATTGTATTTTAGTGGAAATTAAATTTTTAAATCCGCTTCATTCTCTGCTGCTTCCTTGCCCTCTAATCTGGTTTATTCCAGCAGATACTCAGTGGCTTTAGGTTTTAAAATGATCGGTACTGTTCCAGGTAATTTTATACCTGCTATTCAGAGCCTCTAAGCTATCCATTAGAAACAGAAAAGTTAATGTTTAGCCCTACATTGAACATTTGTACAAAAATTATTATTAGTCATGTAATGTTTTTGGGATTTTATGTCACAAATTCAGAATCAAAATCACAGGTATGAATACTTTAGGATCCCACTTTAGACTTAGACAACTTTTATTCTAATTTTGTTTTGTACAGCTTTCAGAACATTTCCATTCCATAAAGTGCAGCAGGGGTCAAATGTAAACAGTCTGTGAGAAAAGACATGGTGCTAAAACGCATTGATGTGGACGTTCATGACATTAATATAATCTGATTACCAGTTTTATAAAGGTACAACAGGAAGTAGGAGAAATTTGGTAGCTTCAATATAAATGGGTGAAACAAACAGCTCTAATGCTGCACACTCATTGAAATTACCTGAGGAGTTTTTGATTGCGTGGACTCTGAACACAGGAGTTCCTTTGGGATCTGAAGCACTCAGCGGTGAGCTGGAGCTGCAGAGTAAAAGGCTCTTCATCAGCATGGCTGTCTGCACTCTTCAGGCCCTCAAACAGCCTGGTTAGAACCTTGAGGAGCTCAGAGAAAATGTCTTCCACCACAGCATCCCTGAAGAAGAGAGTTTGAAATGGGGAGATATTAAAATATGATTTGAATTTAAACCCATAACTACATAGAATACATATTTTTATGTAACTGATACAAATATGGCTCAAACAATAAATTGGATTAATCGAAATAACGATCTCAGCTATTTTAGTAATCGATCAATCATTAAATGGAATGTAGAGACTGTAAAACATGCCTTTAGCTGACAGAGCAACCCACTTAGAGCAGTAATTATATCAAAATTGTAAAAAAAACATATGTAAACAAATTGCATTTATAATTTTTAAAAAAACAATGTCGTCTGTCAATGTGTTCAATCTAGAACTACTCAGGTGGAAAACTTTTAGTTTCACTTGGTTAAACTTAGTGAAAAAATCTTCTTTAAGGAATCTTTGGCTATCCGATTATTAATTGATTAATCTGAAAAATAATCTAAAGATTAAATGATTTGCAAAATAATTGCTGGTTGAGGCACTACATACAAAAATAAAGAGTTGATCCTCCTTTATTATTCCACCTGCTTTGTTAAATGCAGCCAAACAGTCCCATAGCATGATACTACCTCCACCAATCTTACTTTTGAAAGTTCCATTTTAATGAATACAAAGTTATTTTTACTGTGGCTAAAAAAGAAAACCTCAATGTTAAACAAAATAGTGGTACAAACAGTGGTATAACAGCTGCTTACAGTTTTTCCCTGAATATCCAGACCAATTTCAATTAAATCTCATCTTTAACTGAATGGAAATCCTGAGTGAAACTGAGTATATTTCAGATTACAACTAAATATATAACATTTTTTAGCAATCAGGTTTTACCGTTTAAAATAAAACGCAGTTGTGTATTAATATGCTGTGAAATGAAGATGTAAATCAGCACTTTCTCACATTCTTTCGTTGTAGCAGGTGTTATTTTAATGAGGCTCAAAGTAAAAATCGTTTCTAACATAAATAAATGTGAGGGGGAAAAATGAGCAGCTAAATCGACTCCCAAACAAAAGGTTTACAGATAGAATAGTCATAATAAAAAGGCGTGAGTACATACAAGCTGCCAAACATATTTTTTTGTGCCAGAAAATCGATGATAAAGAACGAGCTAACTTTAGCTTAGCTACTGAGCTACCCGTTATTTACTGAAACCAGCGAAAACTGTACGAACCGCACCTGTATTCCGCATCTTTTAAAGCACCTGTAAACGTTTTTAAAACCTGCAAGTGTTCAGATGAGAGTTTCTCATTTAAAATATCAGCAAAAGCTGCTGATATTTTCTGCTTGTCATCGGTGGAAGCTGCCATGTTTCTTTAGCTGCGTCGTGTGGGCGGGGCGCAAGAGTCAATCCCTGACTTCCTATTGGCTTAATTTCTCAGATGGGCGGAGTCAAAGCATGTGCTCTTGTTTGCACGTGTTCACTGACAGTCATGACTTCGGCCATGCCCCACTGAACATAAAGTTAAGATATTTTAAACACACTTTTCTGAGCTATACATTTTTTTTTCTTTCATATGACAAATTAAGGAGACAGCCAATCAGAAAGCATCAACAACAGAATAGAATAGAATAGAATATTATAATAATAGAATAGAAAACAATAGAATAGAGTAGAAAAGAATAGAATAGAATAATAGAATAGAATAATAGTATAGTATAGAAAAGAAAAGAATAGAATAGAATAGAAAAGAATAGAATAGAAAAGAAAATAATAGAATAGAATAATAGAATAGAATAAAAGAATAGAATAGAAAAGTAAAGAATAGAATAGAATAATAGTATAGAAAAGAACAGAAAAGAATAAAATAGAATAGAATAGAAAATAATAGAATAGAATAATTGAATATAATAGAATAATAGACTAGAAACAAGAAGAATAGATGAGAATAATAGAATAGAGTAGAATAGAATAATAGAATAGAATAGAAAATATCTTTATTGTCCCACGTAGGGAAAATTCTGGTGTTTACAGCAGCAAAAAGATTTAAAAAAAAAATGTCCCATCAATGTGGACTTTAGAAAAAATGTATAAGAATAAGATAAAATGAAGAGTTAAAAGATAAACAATAGAATATTGCACTGTAAAGTTTTTTTTTTAAATATAAAAACTGTGCAACTGGAGAATAAAATAACCAATAAACAGCTATGGGGATTTTTACAGCAGTGGATATTTGAAAATGGCAGCAACATCAGTGATGTGCAAAATGACATCAGCATGTTATTTAACTGACTAAGGTAGAAACTGTACAAAATTAGTGGTGGTTATAGTGGTGGTTATAGTTCAGCAACAGCTTCATGCATGGGGTGGGAGACATTATCCAACAGAGATGTTAAGTTAGTAAAGATCCCTTTTTTCCCACCTCCTGCACTTAGACCAGAGGGCATCCAATCACAGTGCCGGCCTTCCTGATCAGCTTATCCGTATAACATATGACATACCCTATAATTCGTGGAAATATCTAAACCTAGTACTCATGCTTTGCAAAGAATAAGAGGAAAACATTTACTTAAATACATATAGCAATGCACTTTAAATTCTCCATCTTTGACATTTTATTTCAATGCTGAAATCCTTGCTTTCCACCAATCATGGTCAAAAAAATTACTAACAGTGTAATGAGACAGTTTGCAATTTGCAAAATATAGGGATGTCAAAATTGGGCACTCACAAACATATGTGATCGCATCTGGATTGAAGGATGGATACAGGCATCTGCTGTTGTGAATAAAGCCTTTCCTTATGCACAAGCAGCAGTGGTGGAAAGTAACAAAGAACAGTTATTTGATTACTGCACTTAAGTACTTTGTTTAGTATCTTTACTTTACTTGAGTCATTGTCTGGGGGTACTTATAATAAGATATTGTACTTTCTATTCCACTACATTTCGAGGAAGCTCTCAGTTTCTAGTTCATTTTGGCTCAGTTTACACTGCAAAACATTGAAATCTAAACAACACATTTTTTCTTAAGATAAGTGCATTTTTTCTTGAATTGAGAAGATAAGTGAGACGCTTTGCCAATAGAAAAAGACAGTTTGCATTTAAAATAAGAAAAAACTTTTGCATTGGCTTATTTCAAGTGCATATTATCTAATTATCTTAGTTTAAGAGTAAAAATACAAATTCCATTGGCAGATCAACTTATTTACCTGCTCAAATTTACACTTAATTCAAGAACCTTTTACTTTTTTCTTGATCATTTTTGAAATGCAGCTGTTGATGTTTTCCTCCCTTGAATTGCAATTTCAGCAAGCAAGACAGCAGACCTTAGGACTGACTTTAGACCCACAGTTTTAGAGATTTAATGATGTTCCACAAATGTGAGAAACTTAAGGCAGATAATATTTGTTGTTTAAAATTTTTATGTAAGTGTTAGCTGTTGTGATGTGGCCAAGCTGTTCAGTAGGAGGAGTTCTGAAAATAGAGCTGCAGGGTCTTTGTGGTAATAGATTTTACCTAAAACCTGTGTCCCATAGCAAATACGTGAGGAGAATCAAGGCATTCATGTTTATTTTTAATAATAAATAATAAAATATCTTTCCTTTTTGTGGCCTCTGTGTGCTGAAGTTCTTTCCAGGTGGTGCAGAATCTGTAGCAGGTGGTTCTATGCATCAATACATCAGGTGGTTTCTGAAGGATTACTCTGTAAATAAAAAAATTTATTAAAAAAAAAAACGTTAGAACTGTAAATTTACAGTCATATGTTTATATTACTTTTTTTATATATTTATTTATTTTTTTTTCTTACTATTTTTCAAGGCTGACTTTTAAAAAAGATGAAATTATCCAGAGAGCTGTTCCAAACGAAATTTCTTTTTGTTTTACACTTGTGTAAAACAAAATGACAAATAAAATCTGTCTAAGTCTCTCTCTCTAAATAATACAGAAATGTATTGATATTAGAATATTACATTTTTACTTTTTAATAATTATGTATTTTCAAAAGTGAGTACTTCAATACTTTATCTTGAGTTGAAGTTTGACTGAATAACCTTTACTTGCAGTTGCAAAACATGTATCAATATTTTTCCAAGTACTAATGTTGACTATTTTGGTATCACTGATTAGCAGCAATAATAGCATTTGATGAAGTTCTACATGTCACTTGTTTCTCTATATAAATGAAATCATACATGGACTGCCACTTTGCATATGTAGCAAGTTGTTATTTTCCTTAGTTAATGCATAATTACCCCAACTAGCCTTGGAGCAAACGTTATAGCCGTAGCAACAAAGCCACATTAAGGTCATTTGTGATTTCCAAGAATTGTGGCGTACCTCAGTTCACAGACCTACAAGACGTTCCCACCGCTGTGCCTCCACAGGCCAAGAACAGCACAGCAGTGGCTTTAGGAAGCTTCATGTTAAGTAGAGTTGATCATAAATGGCAAAAAGCTTCCACCTCAAGCAATTTGTCAGCTTTAAGAAGTATTTGAAGAAGCAAATTTTCCAGTTATAGAAATCCCAATATTTATCCATTGAAGTGGAATAACTGGAAATGCCCCCACAAACTGGAAGTGGAACAGGATGACGGGAGGAATCTGAGCAGTTGGATTACAGGAATAGAGCGCGTGCTATTGGATTTTAAAATGGTAGAAAACCTCAGTTATGCTAACTTGTTGATGTCTGGTTTAGTCTACTGTGGAAAACTGTTTACATCAACGGCCCATGAATAAAAAAAAATACACACGAATGCAACACACTTCTACAGGTTTTTATTATGCACAGATGGTTTTACAATGTTTTGGGTATAAAACACAACATTTTCAGTTAAATGCTGCCACATAGACACATTAGTCATAAAACTAACAAAAGCAGAGAAAGATAGCAAAAGTGAAACCATTAAAGTGGATCAAACAATAATCAAAAAAAGAATCGAATGTGTAATATTCTAGCATGATCTTTTTTAAAAGAGCTATTTCCTCTCATGGCTTATATCATCATAGCAAAATAACTGACATAAGCAAGAAAGATAAACTATCAGGAGCATATATATACAACCTCACAGAGGTTGAAGTCCATTTCAAGCATAAAAAATCATCAATAATCTGCAATGGTTACTATAAACATCTTGAACTGCATTCAGTGTAATTGGTTAGCCTCCCAGACAAATGGAAATTTCCTTTTTTTACTTCTTTTTTCTTAAATTATATAAAAAAATATTTTCATTTATCTTTTCAGAACCAGTATTTAGAGATATAGACGTGGATGAGGATAACGTTTTGCTGAGAAATCACTCCGGCCTTGAGATACTTCATATTCACCTCCAGCACAAGTTCTTTTGGGCCCATTACAGGCTTGATCTGGCGGATTACCCCTGAAAGAAAACATTAATTAGAACAATCAAGTAAATTTTATGTTTTTAAGTAAAATAACGTGCCGTCTTACCGACAATCATGCCGTTTTGTGAACGCTTTATCACATCGAAAGACCTCAGCTCATCAGTGGCTAATATCTCAAAGAAAACATTAGGCTCATCAGGGAGGAGATCCGGTTTAGCTTCTGTAGCCGTCCACAGTATGATGATCTCTGTTGGAACAAATAGGTAAAAATCTGAGGTATTCTGAAAGGGGATACTTAAAGATTTTCTTCCAGTGATCTTACCCTCTGGCTCCTCTAAGTATTGGAAGGTCGGCAGAGACAGAGCAGTGGAGGTGATGATGTGGACGGGGTCACGATTGCAAGCTGTGTCCCATCCCTGGCAGTTTTTGATACAGTGCACGAGAGCAGAGTCCTTTCCTGTGGATCTAAGAGCATATTACTGATGTCATTTTTATGATTTATATCCTAATTATTATTCATTTATTTGTTTTTCATTGAGTTCCACATTGTTTCTATCATTCTTACCATTTATTTATGTGCACTACCCTGAAAAGATGCTATTAAATAGTAATTTTATATTTTATTATTGTTATATGAAAAAAAACTTAAAAAGTTTACTAGCCTGAATAGTTTTGCAAGGTAGTGCACATTTATTCTGTTAAAAGTGGTATTTCGTGCCCGCAACATTAACAGACTAGCAACACCTGATCAGCCCTATGCACATGTATGGTTAATCAAGCTTTAAACTAACAGAACTGGTTCAAAACCGTAACGGTTTCATCACAAGCGTTCAAGGGAAACCTCGAAACCCCATTTAGGAGCAGAGCTTTATAATTTACTGCAGTCAGGTGAGTCGAAGCTGCTTGCCAAACATGAGGCCCAGTCACAGAGATGATTTTGTGGTGTTCCACATTAGTTCCATTATGCCATCAAAATGAAACAGAAGCCACAGCGTGGGGTATCTACTAATAAATCGAATGGTATTTTGTGGTTTATGTGAAATTT